CCATCCATTGTGAATTCCAGAGCTGATGCTCCAAACTGGCCGTGTGAGTAGGCTCCACTTCTGAAGCCACAGTTCTCTGAACCTTAATTCTCAGCCACTAGGGAAGCCTCTGCATTCACCCAAGTTCTTTAGATAACGGTCGTTAACCTGCAGTATGGGATATTTCTGCACTCTATTAACTCAAATCCACGTAAAACCCCTCAAGATAAAGCATCCTCAGGAAGCCACGTGGGGTCAAGGATTCTTCCCAACTCCTTCATTTTACAGGTGGAAATATTGAGGTTATAGGGCAAAGCAAGTGGCTCAATCGCCCCCACAAAGGCAATCCTGTTGGGAGCCAAATCGAGGTCTCCTAAGCATTTAACACATAACTATGTGATACCTATGATACACATGTATACGTACACTGGAGAAAGGTGGCTTTTTAAAAATCTAAAGATATGTATAGGAGCATGTTCACGATGCCCTTGATGAGCAAAACCTGCACAGCCTTAAGGAGAGGAGGTGTCAGTTATGGGCATGTTACTCCCCACAGGTAAAGCGAGCAAAAAATGGGACACTCAGTGGAGGCAAGCTCGCCGGGAATAGGGTTGCAGAGACCCACTAAGGGGAATGCTTAGGGCCTGTGGGCAGACCCCCCCCACCACCTCAGCCCCACCTGAGCCTGCTCAGTGCTCAGCCCTGGTCCCGGTTTTAACTTCTCACACACTGTCCTTATGCATTTGCATAGCAACCAGTATGGCAATTTTTAATGGAAATAGGACCCCACCACTCACTTAGGCCAGCTTTCCACTTTGACTTCCTTCATATCAGACTACATTCCTGCCCTCTTCTCGCTATTCATTTCACACGACGCTCTTCCTCACTTGTGAGCTCCAGCCACACCAGTTTCCTTCTGGAACACTGGGGTGTTCTTGGCCCATCGGGGTTCCTCCACATCCTCCAATAGCTGGTCCTTCTGGGCACTGTCTAACCACCCCGTCCAGCCCTCCTGGCCACCAGCACACCATCTGTCTTCACCACACGCATCTCTCAGAATTTATGTTGCTCGTTTATTGGCATGCTGGGCGCCAGTGCCCCCCAAGCTAGACTGTAAGTTCCATGAGCAGAGAGCCTTCGCTGTCGTGTCCGTCCCCTTATCCTCAAGGTCTAGAAAGTGCCTGGCACACATATACCGTTCGCTGGAAAAACAAGTGCACTATGTTTGAGAGGTATCAAAAATTACTTGAGCCGAAAGAAAAAGCTCGTAAATAGCAAGATCGCAGCTCCAGGTGAGAACTGAGCAGGAGGAAACGCTCTGCCTCCTCGGGCTCAGAGTCTATCAGGGACTTCAGTTCACAGCACAGAGCAGAGAATTAACTCGATGGTGAAGTCTTTATACTGTGCCCACTTACGCTTTCAAATGCCCTGCTGAGTGGCATTGCTCTGATTTCCAAGCCACTCACTCAGTTTCTGTTCAATTTCAGATTCAAGGTTGAGCTTTTAGAGGAGTATTCAAAAGGTGCTTCAGTAACTTCAAATGAGGCGTGTGTGCGTGTGCGTGTGTGTGTGTGTGTGGTCCTGGCTTCATTATTAAACGATTGATATGAAAGTGCTCTAAAACTCAAGATTCTAGACACGTGTGCACATACAGCATTTTCAATTGCATCTGATGTTGGGAAGGCAGTTCTATGGCACTCTGGAATTTCTGAGAGCCATCCAGGGGCACACGGGCTCTGCTGTCCACAGAGAACATGGGTCAATTAAGGCTCCTTGAAAATGTAGCCCCGTGGCCCTGGAACTCATCTAGACAGAAGGCCCAGCTGCGGGCCCACTGGTCCTTGACAGTTCCCCATGCCCTGTGGTCTAACCGCCACAGCAAGGGGCTTTTACGGAAGAGAGAAATGTAACAAGCTATAAAATGGCACAGGGGCGGGGGAGAAACACGTCCCCACGTGCACACAGCACGGACACCGCAAAGAAAGGCCCAGCGGTAGCTGCTGAGCCATCACCTACTATAACAAGATTGATCTGTAGTGAAATAAAAGATAATGCAATCCAAGGGAAATAACTTCGGTTTCCTCTGAGAATGTCTGATGTTGTCAACTTGTGAGGCTACTTCCCTCTTCAGCCCGCCACGGTGCACAGCGGCCCAAACAGGCAGGCACTCCTCGGAGCAGCCAGGCCTCACGCACTCACCGCCGGAAGAACACAATGGCAAAGCAGCGTCTCCCGCAGCTGCCCGTGACTCCTCAGGCACCGCCTGGACGCCCACGGCACGGTCAGGAGGCCAAAGACACCCAGAGTTCCCACCGTGTGTGTAGATGGGGCCTCAGCGACGACGCGGTGGTTTCTGTTCATCTGAAGCCACGTAGCTTTCTGGTTGTCTATTTCAAGCACCATGCTTGGCCCCCCGTGTTTCAAATTAATGGTACAATTCTGGAACAGAGTTTCAACCACAGGAGACATCGTGCAGTCACGTTTTTGACTATCTCTAAGACACAGAACCCTCTGTCTTGGTTTGATGTGACTGTCACCAACACATTTTTTCAAGTTTATTTATTTTGAGAGAGAGAGAGAGAGAGAGAGAGAGAGCGCGCATGAATGGGGGGAGAAGCAGAGAGAGAGGGAGAGGGAGAGAATCCCAAGCAGGCTCCACCCTGCCAGCACAGAGGGTGATGCAGGGCTCGAACTCACAGACTGTGAGATTATAACCTGAGCTGAAATCCAGACTCTGACACTTAACCGACTGAGCCACCCAGATGCCCCATCCAACACCTTTTAACTGTCACATTTTATTTTTATTTTTTTTTATTTTTAAAAAAAATTTTTTTTTCAACGTTTATTTATTTTTTGGGGGACAGAGAGAGACAGAGCATGAACGGGGGAGGGGCAGAGAGAGAGGGAGACACAGAATCGGAAACAGGCTCCAGGCTCTGAGCCATCAGCCCAGAGCCTGACGCGGGGCTCGAACTCCCAGACCGCGAGATCGTGACCTGGCTGAAGTCGGACGCTTAACCGACTGCGCCACCCAGGCGCCCCTTAACTGTCACATTTTACTGAGCATTAATTTCATTGGCAGAATGGCCGGAAGCAAAGGTAAGGAAGGGGCACCAGCTGGTGGGTTCTTTGCTACCATTTCACGTGTCCCTCTCCACGTGTAACGGTCCTGTAAGGCCGGAGCCATGTAAATTATTCACAAAAGCAAGTTCAATTCTCTGCATTCGAAATCCTGGTAATATCTTACACAGGAGCTGCCACCCACCATCACGCAGGGCAACGGGCAGCTAGCAGCTTCCGTCTCCGGAAGATGCTATTAAGTCCCGATAGCCAGTGATTTGCAGATGATTATAACTTTTGCTCTGCATATCATTGCTACTGACAGGCAAATCCCATCAATCAAATGGAATGACTGATTATAAAAGGAGCCAAACTTGACAGAGGTAGCCTAATAAGCCGTTTTTTATACCAACCATGACAACTGACAATGCTCACAATCGTTCGAAGAAAAGCCAGTTCTGCTACAAGCCTTTTCCCTCCCACTCTCCGGTGGCCTCAGCCCTCATGATCCAGAAAGACTTCCCAAATTCAAGCGCCTCGTGTCTCAAAAGGAGAAATGCAATTCAGCGTCGGCTGGTGAGTGGACTCAAGCTCAGGCAAAAAAAAAAAAAAAAAAAAAAAAAAAAAAAAAAGGAAAGAAAACCTCTTTTCCTCCCAGAGCGTCACCGTGAACCCCCAATTTGTCAAGGAAGAAGACACACTGCACCGAGGGGCCCCGACAACAGGGCTCCCACTACATCAACAGTCACGGCACCTTTTCAATTTTGCTCATCTCTTAGTCTCTAGCCAAATGGAACTTATTACTTATAGCTTGTTGGGATTTATGAATTATTTATAAAAGTAGGTCTGTGACTCCAGACTCTTAAAAGACAAACACAACAGTCCCCTCATTGTTACCCACAACGGCGCTTCTATCAGAGAGAGCAGGCAGACGTTCTCCATAACACACGCTGCATGTTTGGGCTGAAATAATCGTTGTGAAAATATCAAGCCTGTAAGATTATTCGGAAGCTATTTATGGGATGCCTAGATGTATTTTTAAACCGGTGTCTTTTATTCCGAGCCAGCCTTGGATGCAAGAAAGACATAGCAAACACACGTGCCACAAACGTATTGCCCAGCTTGAGTATGGTTATGCCCTGCCGATCCTACTGGGTGGTTTCAGACTGTGATCTAAAAAAAAGGGTGGGGGGGAAGAGGTGGCTTCCCCTTAACGTGTGTCTGGCAGGTACAACAAGGCCGTGCCCACCCACGAGCCTCCCTCTGCACCCCAGAGCACAGGGGCTGTGCATCCTCAGTGAGGACTAAAACACGCAACCAGAAGACGCAGTTAGACTTCCCATCTCCAACTCCTCAGAACACATGACCTTGGCTGGCAAAACAGATAAGACACTCTATGCCCTCGCCTGGCTCCATCTCTGTCACAGGCACAGTTGGAGGGGTTTCCAGGGACACCTGGGTTGAAGGTGTCATGCCATGATCTTACCTACACCTCCTCTCAGGACAGGGACACATTTCTTTAGCAAAGAAACCTCCACATGGAACTGGCATCTGAAGCCCTGCCCAAGCAGCAGGTGGCCCTGATGCAAGAGCCCTGAGGGACAGGGATCTTCCATCTGAACCCCCCAGAGACACCTGCTCCTCACCAGCCCCACGCGTCCCAAGCCTACCCGTTCCCTGACAGAGACCCGGCCATGACTCTCCCCAGTGTTCCTGGCCAAACTGCCCAGCCCCCACCCTACCTCCAAGTATGGTCCGGAGGCAGAAGCTGGACAGCAGAGGCCCAGAGAGGCTGATGGCACTTCAGGCCACCTGAAGCTATCATCCTCAGGTGCCTCCTAAAGCCCCCGTGATGAGTCCACAGAGAATGCGAAGCCCCACAACCCTCTGCCCACAGAGGACACCCTTGTTCCCAAACAATCACAGCCAGTGGCAAAGCAGGCAGGCAACAGTGAACTTACCTTGCTGGAAAATATCTGCCAGGAGGGTGAAAAACCAAGGGAAGAGAGGGGAGAGAGAGAGAGAGGAGAAAAAATATTAATAATGATATTGCAAATGACGATGATGATAATCACAGCTAACATATGTTGACTTTGCTGGGCACTCTTTGTACAATATTTCCCTTAACTCAGAGGCAGTGGTTAAGAGCCCGGGCTCTGGAATGAAACTCTTGGATTTAAATCCTGGCTCAACCCTTAACTAACTCTGTGGCTTACATTTCCTAAACCACAAATAGACAGGAGTACTGGAAAGATCAAACAAATTACGTCCTCTGTTTTAAGAGCTTACATCAGTGACCAGCACGTAGTAAATGTAGAGAATTTGGTGGTTATTACTAAAATTAATATTATTATTTTTCACAACCACCTTTTAGAGTAGGTTGTATTCTCATCCTTATTCAGCAGATTGGGGAAAGCGAGACCATAGAAACTCATCCAAGGCCACAGAGGAGGAAACAATCGGCTGGGGATTGGACCCAAATGTCTGATTCCAAAACCCCATCTTTTCACCCACTACCAAGTGCTTGCCTGCTTTACAAGTAACACAAAAACAACACCACACAAGAGAATAAACAGAGGAAGGCTCTACAAGTATACTAAGGTTCCCTATTTAAATCAAAGAGAAAGACATTTGTATGAATTCTCCATATGTAACTCACGACTAATAATGCCACATCTTCCTATTATCCTAGGTCAAAGTCTCTTAAAAGGTGAAAAACTGTGACTTTATTTTTTTTCAACAATTACTTGAGAGGCCATATAGCAAGGACTATGTCTGGTACTGGGAAACATACAGGTAACAAAAAGCATAAACAAACAGTCACTAATGTCCCTCTACTGGTAACCACTGGCACGCCTTCTACCTTACATTTGTTTCTTCCTGTTTTTAATCTTCATAGAAATGCACTCACACCGTCTGCCTTTTGCTCCACAGTGACTGTGGGAATCATCCACGCTCCACACAGCATATCACTCATTCTCACTGCTATATACTATTCCACTGTGTGATTATATCCTAAGTTATTTTCCCTTTGTAATGTTGATGGATTGTTTTCAGTGTTTGACAATTAGGAATTGTGATGAATATCTTTGCACATGTCTTTTGGTGAACATTTATGCATACGCCAGGTCCTTTCTGATATCTTTTTTTAAAAAAAAATGTTTTAATGTTTGAGAGAGAGAGAGAGAGAGAGAGCGTGGGGCAGGGCAGAGAAAGGGGGAGACACAGAATCTGAAGCAGGCTCCAGGCTCTGACCTGTCAGCACTGAGCCCGACACAGGGCTTGAACCCACAAACCACGAGATCATGATCTGAGCCGAAGCCGGACACTCAAACGATTGAGCCACTCAGGTGCCCCTTTTCTGATGTCTCATATGTGCATTCAGGCTCATTCTGTTCTCAACGTCTCAGATGTGCATTCAGGCTCATTCTGTTCTCAACTGCCTCCCAATCACCCCAAAAGTTCTCTCATCTGTTCATATTTCCCATTCAGTAACTTAAGGTCGAATACAGTGCTGGTAGGAACACAGCAGCACCCAGACATGAGCCCGCTCCTACCCTGCTTAATGGGGTGGTAGGCAGGTACAAAACTTCTGGAAGATAGCTTGACGATATGTAAGAAAATGTTAAATATATAGTCCTTGACCTGATAGTACCACTTCCAGGAATTTAATCTAATGAAATAAGTAAAGGTACAAAATGAGTCTATAAGGACGTTTATCACAGCATTGTGTATACTGGCAAAACAATGATTTTTGCCTATTTATCTACAGGGAATCAAACCAAAAATAATTTATCCCACAAAATGGATTATGGTGCAACCGTTGAATATCTTTATTTAAAGACTTTGATTACTGTTGAATGAAAAAAATCAGCCAGCAACAGGGAACACATGTCCCGAAACCACTTACGAATGCGTACGCAAGCATGTGCGAGCGTTTATCTCCATGAAGAAAGACCGTCATGGAAATGTTTGTCTTCGGGTGATGGGATCTGGGGTCACTTTTTGAAATCCTATGTAAGCATTTCTGTACGACTTTAATTTGTAACACGGACCATGCCTTACGTCCATAATCCGAATTTTAAAACTTTATTTTCATACTGGAAAGTAAATAAGAACTGGACCATCAACATCTACATTTGCTGCCAGGAGCTACACATCAGCTCCAACGAGGTCACAGAGAGTGGAGAGCCCATAAAAGGTGCAGATGGGATGCACACCTGAGTGGATTAAACAGACCACAAGGAGGGGAATACCTGTGGGAACGGTGTTCATTCCGCTGGCGTAGCTGTGACCCTCGCGAAGGGTGTCGTTCACACACAATACACACACTCCCAAGGGCATACGCAGGCTGTGGCACAGCTATGTCAGGTTGCAGGCTCCCAGGACCCAGGCAATTGGCTGAAACACCACCCTATCCCTCACGCTCACGAAAGCTAATTGGGATGTAAATGGGCATATCGGTGCCATCCCAGGACAACTTCGACTCTGCCCTAACTTATATACACTATCTGTTATTTTCTAACCTCCGCCATTCATCATTGGTACAAGTTCCGATACGGCAGTGGAAGGACGGCACTCACCTGCCATGCCTCAACATCGTCCGGAGACTGTGAGAAGGACCATGCGCAGCTCCCTAAATATACCCATCACATGCATCTGTTGCCTGGAACACGCAGTCCATACCACCCACACTCGGACCAGCCTGCACACCTGGAGTGGCTCTCCTCCTCAGCCTTCAAATGTCACAGCCACTGTGAAGTCTCTCAGTGCCTATCCCCACAGAGAGGGAAGTCTCTGTTCCCACCTCTCTGCTCCTAGAGTAAATTGTGCACTTTGCAATTATAGCTCATCTTATAGTTCGTTATTTATATAGCCCACAAGCTCCCGAGGACAAGAGTCATGGGTCTTAATCACCTTTGTGGATCCTCAATGACTGGCATGGTATGAGCCCACACAGGAGGGAAGGAAAAAGGGCTGGTGTGTCTTAGCACTCATCTGGTCCAACCCCTTAATTTGCAGAGGAGGAAACTGAGTCCCAGAGAAGGAGATATTTCCCAAGGTCACACAAGGCACTAAAGATTCAGCCAGGACTACATGAGATTCATTTAACCTTAATGAAGCACAAAAGCTCATCCCTATTATTAGCAAAGTACAAATTAGAGATTTATCATTCTCCTCTAATGAATGCAGACAAAAATTTCCAACCTTGAAAATATCAGTGAAATAAGATTAGTCTTTTAAACACGGATCCAGTCTCGACATCCGTCCCCGATCCTCAACCTCCTATCCATGGCTTTTGACAGGGAGCACTTCCTTTGAAATTCAGTAGTGATTTGAATCACTGGAAAGTATCAGTGGGCAGGGAGGGAGGAAATTCAGGCAGGGATTTAGTGACCTTATTCCTTCCCGTTTCATTGTATATTTCACGCTTTAGCAGACAAACCTGCATAGAGTACTACTCATATCCTCTATTCCAAGAAACACTCTTGAATTTTGTATAAGCTATTTAAAATTAAAAAAAAAAAACCTTTTTCAGCTTCATTTACATTTTGCACCTTTTTATTCAAATGTAAATTTTAATAAACACCAGTATAAATATTGCAACAATTTTGCACATGAGTTATCTTGTAATTTACACTCTAAATTTATGTCTTTTGTAGTCTGTGGCATAAATCATTCTGCTCTTAGCATTAGTTAGCTCTTTGCTCTGTATAATAATGGCTTGGGTACCTTCTTTAAAGTTTCACTTGTCTAGACTGAAACAGCCATCCAGGCTCAGGCTCCAATGATTCACGGGCAGAAGAACAGAAAGAAAGTGAGAAGACTGTAAATCCTGTGCTGTTTGGCCACATTTTACCTCCCCCAAATTCTGGACCTCAGAGGGTATTAGCTACAGGAATACTCTAACCACTTTCATGTCCATCATCCCTAATCCCCAAGCCATAGGGACTAGTCACTTATAAAACTCAAAAGGCCCTCACATTTGAGTGACATATTCTCCTTTTAGTGTAACCAATCGCTCAGAATTATTTGGGAGTCAATCACTTACACACTCTGCACTTGAAGTTCCTTGCTGATGAGCTGGAGATATTTTAACACCCACGCCCTGGTGTTGGGCAGGTTCAGTGGGATAATTTACAGAAACAGCTGCCGTTAAGAATCACTCTGAGAGTGAGACTCAGTGCCATCCTTCCTGCTTTCCCAGGAATGGGAAATCACACAAGCACGGGGCTGGGAGTCACCAACACCCACCCAGCCACAGTCAGGTTGAGCCCAAAGGACACTAGGGACACTTGTGCAGAGGAAGTAAACTCCTTCAGACAAAGCTCTGCTCACACTCACTTCCCTCAATCAGTCACAGGAACAAAGAAAGCCTGTTCTCCAGCCCCAGCCCCACCCCCACCCCCCGGAGCCATTCTGGTCCTATAGATAGAAGAAAGGCCATGTGTAAGATGGCGACTCAGATGTGGGGAGAAGAAAATCAAAAGGAGCTCATATTTGTCTTTCTTAGCTTGATGCCCAGTTTCTTCCGTTAGGAATGAGCATCAAGGGTACTTGTCCCCCTCCCCCACAGTCACTGAGAGAATTCACACCCTAGAGTTCTTTAATGCACTGAGTCCTCCAGAGACAGGGGCCATAAAAAGACTGGATTACTTATTATTATTAATAAGTTATGGCAATTAGACTGGGTGATTCCTAAGCGTTGCTGATTAAAAACTTTCTTGAGTGCCTACTCATCCACATGGCTAGTGTTTACCTCTATTAAAAATGATTTAACTACACTCTGGGTGAACCCCTCTCTTGCGCCTGGGTTAATAATTAGCAGTGCACAGAGCCACGCGGGTTAAGTGAGTTGGCTCTCCTTTATTTATCTATTGCTTTATTTTATGAGGAGAACTGGATGGCAGTCTCATTGCCCATTGAGCCTGCTAGGAATAATTTACTATTTCAATCCACAGTCCATGGAGATGGT